AAAAAGTCAGTATTTTTCCAGAAAAACAAAAAAACTGACGCTTGCGGGTATCGAACTCGCGACCTCAAAATGAAAAAAATCGCAGCGCACGCGCTGCGCCAAGCGGTCAGGTCTAGAGAAGGGAGCATCCATCCGCCATACCCTTCAGCCGTTTGAATAGCACAGATTGCCTATTTCAAAAAAATAAAAAAATTTGAAGTAATTTAGCTACTTTTTATCAGAATATGTTCGCAAATCTTTACTCAAACTTTTCGTGGAAATTCACTTCGAAAAAAACTGTTTTTTTAGTGCTTTTTTTGCCTCGTTTAACGATCGCTGCATTAAAAACGGCCCCGTAAATTTTTTTGGCAAAGACGAATTTTTTTATTTTATTCTTTTTAATTGAAAGATTTTTTTACTAATAAATGTATATAATCGTTTGAAAAACCTGCGTTCGACCGCTTTCTGTGTGATAAACGCCGCTAATTCTGTTCTCTAGTTTCAAGAGCATTTTTGCGTATTAAACAACTTTTTCAAGCGAAGATGCTGTAGAGAAATATTTAAGTAAGCTCATGATCTAAATTTTGAAAAAACAAAAACTCGATTATATTCGCTTATTAACGATATTTTGAATTATGACTTTCGGCACTTCCTAAAAATTTTTTTGGCAAAGACGAATTTTTTTATTTTATTGTTTTAAAAATTACCGTTACTTGAATCAAAAATCATTATTTAAAAAAAGAAAGAGTGCGTTCGACCTAAAAAAACACATGAAAAAGCAAAAAAACGACAAAATTTTTTTAGTTCCATTCACGTTTTTTTGTACGACATTCCGCGCGAACGCATCAAAAAAAGCGTGAAATATTTTTTTAAACAAAAAGAGGAAGCTTTTTCTGTACATGTGTGTCAAATTTTATTCGCCAGTTCCACATATTTTTACAACTACAACAAAATGAAAGTTGAAAACCAAAAAAAGCCACTTTTTCTATCGCGAAAAGGGGCGTGGCTTTGCGGTCCCTATACAAAGTGTTAAGAAAATGTGAAAAGTGCTATTTTGGCACGGCTAATAATTTGACATTAGCACCTGGTTGCTATTTCCGCACGGCTCTTTTCAAGACTGCGGAAGTTGTCAAACTTAGGAAAAGTGTTAGGGAGATGTGAGAGGTGCTATTTTCTCACGGCTAAGATTCACAAATTCACACAACTGGTTGCTATACTAGGGCGCTATTTTTGGCTCGGCTGAAAGTTTTGGCACCTAGTTACTACTTTCTTACGGCTATTTCGAAATTCGCAAAAAAAAAAAAGGCGAAAAAGAGCTATTTTCTGGCTACGAATATTATAAAGAAGCCTGAAATACAAGAAATATTCCCGATTCGAAGCCAATTTTTTCCGACGAGAGATCTTCTCACTTTCACATTCCCAACCCATCCAGCCCATCAATAAAAATAAACTGACACAAGCCAAAAAAATCGAAAGAAAAAAAGGGACCGAAGAAAAAGTTTCAAGAGGGCGATAAAACAAAAGATCCGAATGGGCTTCTGCTGCTGAAAGCATGGGAACGTCTCTTTTTTTTCTGTTTCGGGAGATTTTCAAGAAGGGAAAACTATTTATAAAAGGATAATATGTTGTAGAAAAAAATAAAATTCAGTGAAAAAAATTTTGTTAACTACGTGAAAAATTCATCATGTGGTTTGAAAAATTTGACTTTTTTTGAGTCCAAGATTTTACATAACTTTCCTGTTTTCGAAATAAAAAAAAAGAATAAGCTATTTTTACGAGGCTTGAACTTTAAAGACCGGAATTTTTGACTGTTTTTTTTTTACCTTTTCTCAAAGAGGCCAATCAGAAATAGCGTTGAACTACTACTTTCTAAAATAAGCCGGAGCTATTTTTGCGCGGCTGTTTTTCAAAAATCATCTTTTTTGACGGAGAAATAGCTAAAACTGGCCCTAAACGTCAACTTTCTGAAACAAGCCGGAGCGGAAGCTATTTTTGCGCGGCTAATTTTAAAATCGAACTATCGCTTTGTCTGTTTTAGGACTTTTTCTATATAAAAACTGTTCCAAAAAAACTCAATTTCCGCTTACCAGAATCAGCCGAAGCTATTTTTGCGCGGCTAATTTTCTGAAAACGAACTATCCTGAATTTCAAAAACGGACTATTAGGTTTTTTAAGGCTCTTGCTGGCAAGGAAAGAAGCTAAGAAAAGTTCCAAACTTCCGCTTCTCAGAATCAGCCGAAGCCATTTTTTGCGCGGCTAATTTTGAAATCGGACTATCTCTTTGGCTTTTCAGGCTCTTGATGGCAAGGAAAGAAGTTTTTGGATTTTTTAGGGCCTTTTCGTAGGAAAATAGTCAAACAATAGTTCCAAATTTCCTCTTCTCAGAATGAGCCGTAGCTATTTCTGCGCGGCTGGTTTTTCAAAAACAGACATGTTGGTTCATTTGAGGACTTTTCTAGACACAACCCGATTAAAAAAGGTCCAAACTTCCGCTTGTCAGAATAAGACGAAGCTATTTCTTGCGCGGCTGACTTTAACGGCCGATGTCGGTGGCGTGTCGATCTCTAAGCCGCTCAATAAAACGATAAAATCGCCAAGACGAAAGGCTCCCGAAACACATTGACGAGTCGTCAAAAATCGGTCTCCACTCGTCGGTCGTTTCGCCCAACGATTTTTATGCCTCCTCCACCAAAAACGATCGTAAAGGGTTCGGCCCATTGCAAATCGCATAAAAACGTCGCAAATGCACCTGGGGGCTTTCCTTTCTATTTTTTTTTTGTCCCCTGTCTTCCTTTGAAGACCGATAAATTCTATGTGATTTTTTCGGGTCGAAAGGAAGTTGTTGTTTGAAATGCCGCACAGGTGGAGGTGGTAGAACGGAAATTTGAAAGACTGAGGGGGAGGGGGCTTGAAAAAAAGGCTAGAAAAAAAGAGCCCTTCAGAAGATAAATATGAAAAATTTAAAATCAGCCAAGATAAAAAAATCCTGAAAAAAATTTAAATTTTTTTGTGAAAAAAATCACTTTTTCTTCTATTTTTTTATGACTGATTTTTTTGAATTTTTTTCGTAATTTTTTTAAATGATTTTTTTAGAATTTCAAGTGATTAGAAAGCTGAAAAATCATCGATTTTGATCAGAAAAATCACTAGAAAAATTCCAAAAAAATTAATATTTTTTTAGAACAAAATCTTTCTTAAAAACTTATATTCAAAAAAATTCAGATCTCCGTTCAAAGTTTGACCAGACTTTGAAGTGGTTAAAAAGTCCGAAAAACATAAAATTCGATCCCTAAAGCAGCCCCTATTCAAGTGAGCTGGACCTCTCACGAATTCCAGAGTGGTCCCTATAAGGTTTAGGGGCCGAAAGAGTGGTCCTTGTAGGGGTGAAATTAAGATGGTTCCTATAGGGATTTAGGGTCTGACTCCTTAGTCCCCAAAGCTCAAGTGGTCCCTATAGGGGTCTCTCAACCTCTAAGGTTTCCCCTATAGGGACCACTCTGAAGTTCCTAACTTTATTGAAATTTTTCTATTGAATTGGATCGTCTCATGAACGCAGATGATTCAACCCAAGTTACCCCTACAGGGATCCCTTTTTCGGCCCGTATACGATCTGTTGGTTCTCCTAACCCCTATAGGGACCACTCTAGAGACCCTGAGAGGTCCAGCAATCCTCACTTTTTGAAAAAAAATTTTCAGAAAAAATCAAGAAAACGGAAACCCAAGCCATTTTACGACTGAGAACCATGTCTCCATCAACAACTTTATCAGCTACCAAGCCTCTTGACGGAACAAGAAATCTTAACACTTTATCACCTTCCCAAACGGCCCATAAAGCCGTTCCGAAGCCTCTCAAAGCGGCCAAAATAACCGATACAACTATTTTTTCTTGTCATTGATAACCGCCAAAGGGTCGTTAAACACGCGCATCGCCATTATTTTTTTTTTCCGAACGAGGAAAAAAAAAGAGAGAGGAGAATTTTATACGTGTTTATCGTGCCGTCGGCGAAGAGTCGTAAAGCAAACCGTGATAAATTGGCCAATTTTCCTTTTTTTTCAGGAAATAAAACAGAAAACGAGCGCGACGGGAGACAAAAACACGGTGATAAAGTAGACGAAGAGGCGGGAGAAACGGTATTTTCCGAAGGACAATGATTAGTCGGTACCAATGATGGGGAATGAGTGGGTTCTGATTTAAAAAAGGTGTTTTGATCAGAAAAGGAAGTTGTCTTAAGCTTCTGATTGGAAACGCGTTCAAAAAAAAACTTTTTTTAACTGCAGGTTTCCAAATTTTAATATTCAACCGTTCGCACATTATACGGTCATACAGCCTTAATCTTGTCCAAATGTTTACTTTAGCAGAAATCACAAAATCACTCAAATACTCTTGAGCCGATCCCAAAAAGATCCTATCAGCTTTCAGCTGCTCAAAATGCTCTGACTTAAAGATACCTTACAAAATCGGATCAACTTCTTCCAAAGAATGAAATAGTCCAAATACTCCTTTCAACACCATAGTTGGCCATGCTCCAATCAGTTCAACTTCTACAACTCAAAATTTAATCCAAAGCTTGTCTTCAATTTCTTTCCGGTCCTTTGATCTCACATAGAATTCTCAACTTCTTTTTTTTTCAATCGCTTGAGCGGCATCGGCGCCCCAATTCCATGAGCCGAGGTTTTATCCTGATATTATTACACTGGCTCTAGTGACGTCCTTGTAAACTACCAACTTTCCCTTGGTTGGGTCGCGGCGGGATCGAACTTGTGACCCTATGTACCATAGACAGGCACACAACCTGTTGCGCTATGGTGCGCCACATAAACTTCTCAGCACCACTTCGTTTTGAAATTCTGGTATCTCTTGAACCTCAAAATGACCCAAACAACTTCCTTTCCCTCAAAATGATATATTTTTAAGAAGAACCCACAAAATCAAAAATATCTTAAAAGTCCAGAAAATCTTCACACCACACTCTGACATTGGTAACGCGAAACGGACGTGCTCCGGACGTTTCTGGGCGATTCTAGGGATCACTTAAGAGTGCTGAGGCTACTAAAGTGGTCACTAGATATGCCCCGACACGTCCGATTCGCGTCCCGTTCGCGTTACCAAGGTCCGAGTAGTTGGTCATGCTCCCAAACGCTTCAATCTGTCCAAACTTGGAATATTTGAAAACTTGCTTTTTGCTCCTTTTGATCAGCTGTCAGTTACTCCAAAAAATGATATCCCACTTCTTTCTCAAAATATAATCTCTCAAATCCCTGAAACTACAGTTTCTGCTCACTCAAAACTTCGAAAAGGCCTCCCGAAAACCCAAACCATCCACATAACTTCCTCCAAGGCCTCAAATCGTCCAAAGACTCCTCTCAAAGCCGCAGTTGGCATGACCGGTATGCCGTCTGTTGCAACAATCGGACACGACAGTGACACGAACGAGCGAACGGACGTTTTGTCCCCCCTCCTGCGGGGCGGCCATCCGTCGACGGATGACGGACGCCTGACGGCGGCGTCTTTTTCCTTCTGATGGATCCGATGTGACACGGCAGACGACGTCGACCCCCGTCAACTTGCTGCGTCTGTCAAAACTCCTTGTTGTTTTTTTTTGGCGAATGGTTTTTTTCGCTGGGTCTCACAGCTGATTTCTGTTGACATCAGAGGTCGAGTTTTTCGAATTTTTTCAGATGGTACTGTAAATTGAGACCTTTGAAACACTGTAAATATTCAAAATCAAGGAAATTTGAGAAAGAAGATTTAGAAATTATTTTTAAAGATTGAAACGATTAAAAAAAGGTTCGGAATATATTTCTAGAACTCCAAAATTTCAAAAATTCTGAATCAACAAAACTTGCTCTTTAGCTACAGTCAACATTACACTGTCATTTCAAAAAAGCAGTGTATAAAAAAATAACTCTGGCTACAGTAACCCAAATACAGTAATCAGAAAGCCTCTACAAAAAAACATACTGTGACAAACTGAAGCTATGTGATCCTGGAACAATTTTTCGGAAACAAAATTGAAAAAAAAAATGGAAAAGGAAATTTTTCACAGGCTCAAAAAGAAAGAAAGAAAAAAATATTTTTGAAGGTTATTTTTTTAATTTTTTTCGAAAGCAGGATACTCAAACAAAAATCCCCAAAATGGCTCAATCTGATCTCACGAAAATGACAAAAAAATCTACTATTTTTTTCAACTAAAAATTGACTTTATAAACTACTTCAGAAACATGAAACTTGTCCCAAAACAATAACAGAAGAAGGCGTTATCAAGGTTGACCAGCAGCCGTAGTGCGGTCGAGCAAACAATCCGCCTACAGTAACCTTCTCGTTTGGCGCGCCGTTTTCCCAGCAGTCAGCCAAGGGTATCGTTAATTCGGAACCGACGAGGAGGTCTGTCAAGAGTTTGGAGATGTGAAGAGGGGCCACTTAAGGCGCCTCGTTTGATCGGCGCCGATAATGACGAGTCTGTTCGCACTCGAGTAGGCCTGGGAAATCTGTCGTCGTCGAGGAGGTGTCGGCCAGCCACTTAAGTGCCTCCTTTGATGGGCTTGATCAATTGGTCGGGTCATTTTGAGGGGGCTAACAGGAGGGAATCTGTGGGGGTGTCCATTTGGGAGATTGAAGTTCAGAAAAAAATTTGAAAGCATAAAAATCATCTACAGAATGTAGGAAGTCATCTACAGAATGTATAAAATCATCTACAGAATGCATGAAATGATCTACAGAATGTATAAAATGATCTACAGAATGTTTGAAATGATCTACAGAATGTTTGAAATGATCTACAGAATGTATGAAATCATCTACATTATTTTTTTAAATTTCAAACCTTTAAAAAAATCGATAATAAGTCATTTCATAACGATGAGTTTCCATAGTCTGCGATTCAACGTAGATTTTCTCAAAAAAGTCCACTTTTAACCCCCCAGTATACTGTCCAGGTCAGATCTCAAAATATAAAATTCTTCTTTTCCCGCCAAAAACCTCAAAATATCCCAAAACCGAACATTCATCACTTAAAGGACTACTGATCCGACTTCCTTATCTTTGGAACGTCGTTACCAGTTTTTATCGCCTTCGAAATGTCCATTCAAACCCATCGAAAGGTCCATAAAATCAGTGGAATTATACTAGCAGCTTTTATGAGCCTCCTTAGCGGACCATCCATTTCCATTCCGCATTCCGACGCCACCGGAAACCCGATAAAAAAGGTGATAAAATTCGTGCAAATCGGCTATTTTTAGAGGAAATGGCAGAAGTTTTGAAGCGAGGAAAAATTAGCTCCGGTTGGAATAGCACAGAAAAAATAGCCTCGAAGAAAACAGCTAGCTGGAGTTGACTTCAGTGATGCTAAAGAGAAGAAAAGAAGCTTGGAAAATAGCCGCAAAAAACCGGAATTTGAATATGCGCTCCACGGATAACCAAATGTTGCGAAAATCGAAAAGTGGCTTTTTTGAAATTTCTTCTTGATTTTTCAAGCTGAAATCTTTAAAATACAGAATATTTATCCATGGAGCGCACTTGCAGCGGCTGTTTTTTCCAGCCTTTTTTAGCCAAATTTTCGAAAATTTTCTGACTGACATCGACCAAAAATGGAAAATCGAAATTTTTATGACACTTTTTTCCGTCGTGAATTACGAATTTCGAAACAGACCGGTCATAAAAAAGTCTTCAAAATTCAAAAATTTTCTCCGTGGAGCGCACTTTCCCGCTCATTCTTTAAAATCAAAGTTTCAAACTTTTCTCTGACTCACACCGACCAAAAATGGAAAATCGAAATTTTTATGACCCGATTTTTTTTCTTCCTATTTTGGTTGTAGGGGTCGTCGTAAATTTCGAATTCCGAAACAGACCGGCCCATAAATTTCTGTGGGTCTCTACACAAATGGCATGACAAACAGACGGACGGACGTATAACTCATCGAATAATGGGCCACCATTCTCCGTCCCCGCCTTTACTATTTTGCATTTGAATTTTTCTCTTTTTTTTCGGGCTTTGAAATCGTTCCCGCCACATTGTTTATGTGGTTGTAAACATGGGAAAGCGATAAATTTGAACCGAAAAAGGGAAAATTCGGGGAAAAATGGTGAAGTTTCAGGGAAGGAAGGCTTGGAACATGTTTAATCTTTGAAGAAAATGAGTTTGAAGTGGAAAAAACGAAGGTTTCACTAAGAAAATGTGCATTGGAGACAAGATTGACGTTTGGCGCAGCTGGTAGCGCTTCTGGACGAGATCCAAGGGGTCCTCGGTTCAATCCCTTCCCTAGTTTTATCATTTGCCATTTTTTACATAATATCTTTTCTTATCTGTAGAGTTGTTCTTTTCTTCTAAATGTAATCGTTTTTGAGTTTTTCGCAGTTTGAAGCTTTTTTACTCGCCTCTGAGTATCATCACCTCTTTCTTCTGCTCAAATAGTACAAAATTAACCAATAATTGAAAATTTCCAACACTTCCACCTCCTACAGCGGCCCGACCAAAGCAACGCCAATTTCTCCTTGAAAATGACCATTTCCAAAAGTCGGCTTCTCAATATTCAATGGGGGGACCGCCCGTATTTGTGCGCGGTATGATCCGCAAATTTATGGTAGCCCAAACGTGTGCAGAAAACTGCCTTTGTCCGTATTGTACGGAGCCCGGTGATAAATCAATCGATTTCGACGCGTTTTAGTCCCCTTAATTCGCCGTGGGTGTTCTGGGTGAGTGGAGGAATGGTAAGGGACTCGGGAGGTTCAAGGAAAAATTTTCGTACTTGTGTAAAAAAATTTAAAAAATGTCACAGAAGTTCAAAAAGTTACAAATCCTTTTTAGAAAATTTTCAGTAAGTCGACCGGAATTTGATCTCAAGACTAGAGTCTAGTTAGCAAAATTACTCGTAATATTGTAAAAGTCGTCTTTTCTAATTCTAGCAGGCCTACAGGCTTCAAATCACTTAAAAAATTGAAAAACGAAAATTTTCTCAATGGAGCGCAAATGATGCGACTCTCTACGGCTTTTTCTTCATCTGAACCTCCTTAGACTTTTTTAGCAGAGATCAAACGTATCTGAGCGTTTCTAGTGATCCTTTTAGGGGCGTTAGAAGTCTTAAGTGATTACTTGAAATTCTCAGGAAGGTCCGGCTAGCGTTACTGAGTACCGAGCTATCAAAGTTATCCATAGAGAAAATATGCTTTTTTAAAGGTTATTCTTGGTCTAGTGGCCGTGGTGAAAATAAAAAAAACGATTTTTCAAAAATAGCCGGGTCTATCAATAGAGCACAGAATGTTTTCTATTTAACGGCTGTTTTTTCCCTACGATTTTTTCTCACCCTTTTCTCATCGCTCAATTTCCGATCAAAGCCGATAGAAAAAAAAAATCTCAAATACATAAAACACGAGTTTTTATCATGTAGGACGGGTCATAAAAAGGCGACGTTAATTGGCGCCGCCAAAAAGATATGATAACCCATAAATGGCGCCGTATTTGGGCATGAGTACAGTCATTAATTTTCATCGCGGTGGCTCTTCACACGACTCAAAACGAGGCCCCGTTTTTATGACGCCGAGTTTTATGTTCGCTTTTATTGGCTCTTTTCCAGGGACCAGATGTGATAGACACAATCTTCATTCGAGTTTTGTTTCCGAGTTCCGTCAATTTTATGAATATAGCAGAATAAATATTTGAGACAACTAGAACCTGCTTGAGCTCAAAAAATATTTCCAGAAAAAAAAAGAGAAAATTGAAAATATTTTTCAAAGAGTCGAATGTATAGGCAAAGTCGCAAAGGGTGGAAAAAGGCTCCACAGAAGGTTCCATTTTTGCTGCCTTTTTGCACCATTTCTTAGGCCCTTTTGCACCATTTTCGCTGCCTCTTTCCACCATTTCTTGAGCCTCGAAAATCCCATAAAGGGACTCTTTTTGCTGCCTTTTTGCGGCCATTATCCACCCTTTCCGATTTTGCCCTGGTTTTCAAGAAAAAAACGATGATATTCCTTCATAACACTCAAATCTAAAAATGCTCCAAAACTCCAAAAAACCGCTGAAAATCCTGAAGCTCAGAAGCTGCGCTTAGAAGTTCGTCATGGTTATCACACCAATTCTCGTCCAAACTCTAGAAATTTATGAAACTGTAAATCAATACTTTGAGGGTAGATCTTGTAGACCATGACAACCTTTTCAATTCCGAAAAACTTGAAAAGATGAAAATATACGTGTCGCCGTACAGGTAGGGACCGCAGGGCCACGCCCACTTCGCTGTTCAAAAACTTCGTCATTTTCGTTGCATTTTGGTTCTTTTTTTATATTTTAAAAACAGTTTTCTTGTACCGATTTGGGGAAAAAATTGGGGGAAACATACAATCGGCTATGCTTAACAATCCTACATAAAAAGAAAAATACTGAAAAAAATGAGAAATAAGAATGTACGACGACAGTTTTTTTAAAACGCATTTGTGGCCGAAAAACGGATAAAAAAATCCCTGTTTTTTTCTTGAAAGTTTCTGGGCAACTTTTTTTATTCTTGAATATCATAAAGCAACTAAAAAAACGCATATTCTGGCAAAAAAATAAAAAAATTCTATGGTTGGCCTCAAAAAAATAACGCAATTTGAAAATCACGATTTTCGAAATTCCTTATTTTCGAAAAACGCAATCGATAATTACTGATTATATTTTTTTAAACGGTTGTTTGCAGTTGTTTGCAAATTTTAAAAAAATAAAAAAACTAAGTTTTTTTCATCGATTATATAGTTTATATGAAAGCTTAAAAATTTCGGTTTTTTTCGTAACGCTTTGAAAAACGGCCCAAAGCGTTCTGGGCAAGTTTTTTTATTTCATAATATCAAACATTAGACATTTCTCTACAACATATCAAAAAAATAAAAAAATTCCTAGGATGGCCCGAAAAAGTATGGTTAATTTAAACGCTCGAAAGTTATTTTTTTAAAAACTGCGCGTCGCTGGAAATCTGCAGACACCGCGAAGGCCACGAAATTTTTTTCGAAAGCGTGAAGAAGGTTTTTTTAACTATTTATGTATTCTATTCAAGTTTTTCTCATTTTATTGTGGCTTTATAGTTGCTTTTTACTCATTTCATAATTGGAATCTTTTTTTCCTATATCATTATATCCATTATAGAGAAAAAGTATTAAATTTCGCTTTTTACTCAACTTTTTTTATGAATTTTTTTCAGAATGTCAAGTAAAGAATTCTGAAAAAAATTGTCTACGTACACTCCATGTAGACGCACAAACTTTAGAGAAAAAAATAAAAAGAAGTAGAAAAATCAAAAGTAAAAAAACGCTTTCGCCCTTTTTTTTAAAAAAACTCTCTGTAAAAAGGACTTGGTGATTATTTACATATTTTTTTCAGTAAATTTCTTAGTAGACTGTTACATTTTCAATTCGGTTTAATGCTGTTCGTCCTTCGCAAAGGTCTATTTTGTCGGTTATTTTTCTTTTTTTCACGAAATGCATTGAAACCTTCTTCAAAAACTCGCTTTTCAGCAGAGTGAGTGCTTGAAGAGTAGGCTGATATTGAAAAAAGAGCAATATTCAATATGAAAACTCTAATATTTCATTTAAAACTTCTAAAAAAACTCAAATAAATATGTTTCCGAAACGTCTCCTGCGTGAATTAACGCACAGCAAGGAGCGCGCGGCATCTATAAACACGCCCCTTTTCCTGCGACCCTGACGAAAGTTTCTACACAAAAGTGGTTCCCCCTGATTTCGCCACTTTTTTTGCTTATAACTTTTTTTCATTTTTTTCATATTTTTTTCTTTTCTGTTTTTCGCAGTTAGCTCTCAATTGCCATCAGCTTTCTTTTTCATATAGGTTTCAACTTTATATCACTGACTTTGGGAATTGGCCTGCGGTCCCTACGTACAGGGCCCATCAACCGTTTCTCACTCGATCGCCTCTTGTTTGCAACTAAGAAATCGCAAATTTTGCTCGAAATCGGTTTTTTAGAATCTCTCTTTGAAGCTTGAAGTTGAAATTTTGACCTTTTCATGTCCCAAAAACTTTTCTCGAGGTTCTAAAATCTTCTCAAAGACGTTCTTAAGCTTTCAACTTAAAAATAAAAATTCCGAAGCCATCAAAATTTACAGCCCGTTTCTAATCAAGCCTTGAAGTACTAGAAACCTATTTTCAGCTGAATCGATAATTATAGCCCTTAAAAACCTTTACAAGAAGGGCCATTTAACTTTCTATTGGGAACTTTTTACAATTGACCGGAATACTCCTTGAAGTACCCGAGAGTCTCCATCTGAACTTCTACCTATTTTCTGGAAAAGAACCCCTCAAAGTCAAAGAAAACCTTCAAAATCGGCTTTGAACTCTTGTTTCTCGAAAAAGAGAAATTTGTGCAGTTTCAGGTCTTCAGAATCTTCTTTTGGTACGTCAGAAAGTGTTCTGGCATTGAGAATTATCCCAACTCAAAGTAAAATAACCTTCCTTGTAGGTAAAAGCTTGGGAAGATCAAAATTGCAACTAAATCGATGAAATTCTCAGGAAGGTCCGGCCACAACTTTTCAAAAGCCGTAAACTTGGAAAGATCAAAAAATACAGGCAATTGTCGCCAAACACGTCCCATAACCCTTTCTTCGCTCGATCGCCTCTTGTTTGCAACCAGCAAATCGCAAAGTTTGCCTCGCTTCACACAGAATCGGTTACGGTGGTCGTAATCCACTTGGTCAGAAATGTCAAATCTGAGCGGTGGCGTTGCGTAAGACGCACGGGCCGCGCAACACAGCGGCCGCTTTTTTCTCGGCTCCGAAATGATGTGTGTGCCCATTTGGTCGTGTAATATCCGTTATTTACGGTCGGACTGGCCCCGGCGATTATGCAATATCCAAGGGTTTCTTGTATCGTATTGACAAGATGGGCTCATAAATCTTTGTTTGAGGGTCGTTTTTTTGGAAAGATCGATAAAAGGTATGGAGAATAAAATGAGCTTCTTGGCAGGATGCAGGTACATTTTTGTTAGCTAGAAAAATTGGAGCGGTACCTTTTTTTAAATTTAATTTCTGTGCTGAAAATGAGGTTAGATTAGTAGATGGATGGCCAGAAATTCGAATAAAAAGTAAAAAGATTCAAAATATGTACAGTAGCGAGAATGGGTGAGGCAAAAAAACGGTTATTTAAAGAACTTTGCAGATACTTAACTATACTTAACTTAACTATACTAACAGATGCTGAACTTTGCAGATAACCGGACCAATTTTAGATATGTGATGTAAAATGTGTTTGCGGACTACACTTCAAAAAAAAGGCAATGGTGCTCCATTGCGAATTACGAGAACTCGGTTTTTCTGAAACGAGTTCCAGCTTTTCATAGCATTTTAAAAGTTGAAACTCCTCTCTATAATTATTAAAAGTTGAAATTGAACATCTTATGATCATTTTTGGACTGAAAAAAGCTTCAAAAGCTCAAAATTTCAACCTTTACATTAATAATCAGCGGCGAACCTTTTTGCGCCATTTTCTCAGTCCTTAGGCATTATTTTTGCTGCCTCTCCCTTTCTTCACCATTACTCAAGCCTTTAAAATTCCAGAAAAATGAAAGGCTCGAGAAAGGGAGCCTTTTTGCTACCTTTTTGCTGCCTTTTTTGAGCCTTTCTGGAGCCTTTCTGGAGCCTTTTTGCTGCCCTTATGCTGCCTTTTTGCTGCCCTTATGCTGCCTTTTTGCTGCTTTTCTGGAGCCTTTTTGCTGCCTTTTTGCTGCCTTTCTGCTGCCTTTCTGCAGCCTTCTTCCAGCTTTTCCCTTTTAGCGGCTATTATTTACCATTCCGAATCTGACCGAGAAAAAACACGATCACCAGAAAAAGACGATTTTCCAAAGAGCCATCGATGAGCCTCCTATATCTCCAAAACACCTCTCCAATCTACCTTCGCGCACCTGTCCTTATAATTACCCAACCTTCGACCTTTATCTTATCAACCGGCCAGCGGCAAGTCAAAAAGGACACCGGAGTAGATTGAGCCCCCGTGCGGAACGCATCGAGATAAATGCCAAGCAGGTGTACCTCTTTACCTGTGCAACACCTTGAAACGAGCCGCCAAGACAAACAGACCGATCCAATTTCTGCGGGCCACACGACGCAACGGTAATCCCTCCGTAATTACGCAACTCGAACTTGTCTTTTTTCGATCGTCTGTTAATCCGCTGCTGTTGATGGATCAGGTTACGCCAGGGATGCTCCATTGAGAAGTTAATGTGTTCGATATCGGATTGCAGGGAATGGCAGACATTTTGAGAAGAACGTATGTTTAATATTGGGTTACAGAGTATGTTGGTAATAAGCTGTTTTATGACTTCTTAATCTTGCTTGAAAAAGCTTGAAAAAAGCTCGGGGTACGCCAGAAAATTAATCATATTCGGATTACTTCTCAAGTCCGGATTTTTCTAAGGGTCTTCAAAAACCCGAAAAAAAGGACAAGGTTAATTCTGACCATATTTTTTGAGCTTGGTCTGAGCTTATAGGATCAAGAACCATTACCAGATCTGAAAAAAACTGCACCTATTGGACTCAAATCTCTTTCTAGAATCATTTATTTTTTCTTTTTCTTCTCCGGCTGAGCTTTAAGCTTGACTAGCAGCTTGACAAGCACTTCTAGATCCCCTTATTCATCCGTTCAAAAGAACAAGGAAGTATAAAAATCGCTGGCTAGGCCGGAATGGCTTGTTTCTGATTCCGAAAAATCTTTCTTCTCTTTCCATGCTTGCCTGGTTTTTTGTAGACTTTTTAGCTAAGCTCCTTAAGGTCAGATATTTACAGCCTTTCGAAAGATCAGAGTATTATAAAAGCCAATACTTTATTTTCACTCCTGACCTCAAGCTCTTTTCGCCAGTATTTTCAAGAGCTCAAACCCTTCGAATTCCTCCAAAAGCTCAAGCTTTCCCGGCTTGGCTGAAGCTTATACCGTTCTATCAAGAACTCTGAGGGAACTTCCAGGTTTCAGATCTTCTTCTACATCCTGCTACTTTTCGAGCTAGACCAGCTTCTCCAACAAGCCCTTCTAGCACTCAGATCTTCTTCAAAAGCCGTCCAAAAGATCGGAAAAGTATGAAAACCATTTCTTTATAAACTCCTGACTTTGAGCTTACTTTCGAGTGTATTCAAGATTTCAATTCCTTTGAAGTAGTCTTGAAAGAGGTCGAGCTTTTCCGGCTTGGCTTGAGTTCGAACAGTTGTATCAAGAGCTCTGAAACTGGATCTTCTCGATCTCACAATGTCAGGCTGTTTTTTGAGCATATGGTTTTTTTTTTTGAAAATATGGTTTTTTGAGCTAGACCAGATTCTCCAACAAGCCCTTCTAGAGCTCAGACTTTCTACAAGAGCCGTCCAAGCGCTCAAGTTTTTCCGGTTTGGCTGAAGCTTATACCGTTCTATCAAGAACTCTGAGGAAACTTACAGATCTCTGGTCTTTTCTATAACCTGCTACTTTTTGAGCTTGACCAGCTTCTCCAACAACGTCATCCTAACTCGTTGGCGGCTAGAATTGTCAAAAGATCGACAAAAGTATAAAAACGGCTGGCTCGGCCGGAGAAGCTTGTTCTCGCCGTCACATCCGCCAACGAGTTAGGATGACGGATGGCCGAGCCGCTTCAAAAATCGCTTCATAACACTTGACGTGTCATCAGTTGTTGGAGGGGGCGCCAAGACGAAGACAAACTTTTTTTCTTCTTCTCTCTCTTGAGAAGGATCTGGGACGATCCATCATCGGCCGCTCTTCCTGCCGTCTTCTACTCTTTGTTTTTGGCCGTTTTGAGGCCCGACTGATTGATGGCTGCTGATTTGCTCTCAGGAGATTCTGGTGGTGGTCCGAGTCGAGGAGAGGGATGCTTAATGTCGTCGGCGAGATCAAAAAGCCCTTTCTTTGTCTTGTTTAAGTGTCTTTAATTGGTGATTAATGGGGCGGAAGGTGTACTCGTGTTCAAAATGGACAAGTTCTTGGCATTTGGACACCTGGTTCGGTATTTTATGATTGGTGAGGTTGGAATTATTCAAATTGGACTTGAAAAAAATATTTCTGGGTGAAATTTTTCCGTTCGGAAAGCTTTCGTATTGAAAGTTTGAACATGAAAATCGATTCCAGGGCCAACTTCATTCGAAAAAAAAATTTCCAATTTTTTCTTCAATCTAACCTACTGGAACAAGCTTTAAAAAATAGAAGCCCTGACAATAAAATCCGTCCCGAAGCTTTTAAATCTACAAAACCTAAAAAATCGATCAAAAATTTTTTTTTCTACCTTCAAGCCGTCCCAAACTTTCAGAAAAACTAGCTTTCTACATAAAAATTCTGTAGATTATTTCTTAAAAATCTTGTTTTCATTTTAAAATTCAAGTTTACTGTAAACAAAAAAATATAGTGCGCACGACCAAAAAAATAAAATTCGTTCCACTTTTCTGTACGACACTCCGCTGAAACGCAAGATCATGGAGTGAATTTTACGTGAATCGAAAGAGGGAGGTCTACTCTATCTTTCCACCAACTTTCGTTAGTATCGGTTCATTATTGCGCATCTAAGAAAGCAAAAAAAAATTACCAAAAAGGCTTTTCGATCTCTAAGTTTACAAATACATATATGTAATACAAAGTTTACATAATTCATGTCATTCAAGCTCGTTTTAAACCTCTGAAAATCTCGAAAACCGGATCTGATCTCTTTTTTTTCCATTCCCAAGCCTTGAACTTAATAAAACGTCTCGAAAACCATATCAAACCCCATTTTCCCGGTCCCGAAAACTCAAAACCCCCAAAAATAAACATTATCCATGCCTCACTGAAGTTCCAAAGCCATTCTCAAAAACCAACCTACACGAAAAAAATCGCTCTTTTTCGCTGGTCACATCTGGCCCCAATAGCTCGGACCATCAATTTCAAGGGTCCTCGAAAAGCGAAAAAATATACACAGAGGCAAATTGTTTGACAAATTGCGCCACCCATAATTCACACCTGTAACGAGCGTCGACGTCGTCTTTTTTTTTGTCCCCATGTGCAAACAATTTGAATTATCCCACGTGTCTCATTAACTCACATCGCGTCCTTTTGTCACGCCAACAAGCACGTGTATTTCATTCTAATTGATTGAGAGTTTGGATAGGGATCGGAAGGGGAATGTTTATTTCGATCACAGACAGATCTGTAGCTCAGAAAAAATATCCAAAAAAAAAGTTATTTTTAGTTTAAACAAGGGTCTTGGTAAGATCCAAAGAGGAAAGCTGAAAATCCAAGATTCGAGAAAACATATCTAGGCTTGAAGAATTATAAAAGGAAGAGAGAGACTTATTTGATCTGCAGCTCAAAATTTTTCTTTCCAACTTTCCTTTTTTGAACACTTTGAACCCTTCCCCACTTTCAAAAAAATTTTTTAACTTTAAAAGTCTTGCATTTAGGTGCAATAAATGAAAACAAAGAAAGCTTCCAGGGAATTTCGTAGTATTTCCATTTTATAATTTCACTTCAAGTTTTGAAAAGAGTCCAAGTTAAGGAGAAAGATAATATTTTGAAAATCAAAGACGAGAAAAATAATCTCATCACCTTGAACTGAAGAGCCCCAAAGCTATACGCAGGCTTGTAAGAGACCAGTCAAACCTTCTAATTTCAAAAGGGAGACTATCAAATCAAACAATTGTGCAAGTGAAAGAAGGTTGAAGTATAACTTTGAAAGAAGGCTTCAAGCTCAAACCCGGAGATTTGAAAAAAAAAAATCAAAATCTTTGATTCTAACTGTAGACCTTTCCAACAGCTCTGTTCAGAAAAACTGCGGCCTAGGTGAGAGGTCAAATTCATTTTAGTTTTGCTCCGTAGTAAAATCACGAAAAAAGGTCCAACCTTCCGATCAATCATAAGAAGAATATCTGGGCTCAAATGAAGTCCTTTTGAGCAAGAAAAAAAAAACAAAAATCATTTTTTATAGCTAGATTTTTTTTTTGTTGAACGATTCACCAAAATACTGTCTAGGTGAAAGAGCCAGAAATGAAATTCGCTCTACTGAAAAAAAATTTAGTGGCTACTTAAGAGGTTCCAAAAAAAGGGGACACTAAAGTGGCCACTAAAATCCCGTCTATAGAGGCCATTACTCTGCGTCTCACTGATCAAAACCCTATAGGGGTCACTAAAAATTTTCCCAGTGATATAATCAAGGTTCTGATCACTTGAGAAATAGCTCCTACCAGTGGAGAACAAGTTTCTAAATTTTCAAAACAAAATTCATTTTTTGAACTCTTCAAACAGTTCAAATCAGTCAACTACTGGCTAGGTGTGAGGTCCATACGCGTGCTCGTAAAAGAGGTCCTTCCACCTCTTGCCGAGGCCTCCGATACATCACCGCGGTGGTCATAAACGCCATCGACAGGCGCAGTCTCTAATCGCTTGTGTACCGCTGCCCTCGACTCGCAGAAGAAGACGAAGACCGTCGCCGCCAGCCGATCCTAATCTTCTACAACCTAACAAGATGTGCACGCCACCGTGCAAAGTTGATCTCTTTTTCTCGAGGGACCAGCAAAAATTAATATTTAAGGAATTCCCCAAGGGGAAAATTTTTAGTGACCACTATAGGGTTTTGACGTTTTAGTGGGCCACTATAGTAGTAAAATTATTTTCGTTACCTTTGAGCCCTCATTTCTGAAAAACAAAAAATTTTTGCAGGTCAAGATTTTGAGACTTCTCATCTGTTGGGTCAAGAAGTTTCCTGACCGATTTTCAGAATAATCCCAACCGCATAATAAAATGATCCCCTTGTAAGGTCAAAGAGTAAAAAACTAGAAAAATCAGAAGTCGAATATTTTTCCTTATGAAATTTAAGCTTATTGGCTATGAACTCAGAGACAGTCACGAATTCTATTCAATCAAGTTTCCCGCCAAAAATTCAAAAATCTTACGGTAGAGCCGCGTCGCATGGCCAACGCGTCGCGGTCTCTACAAGAGACAGCAAAATGGGCTAAGAAAAAGAAAGATATTATTGTTTTTCATTTAAAAAAAAAAATCAAAAATCGGATTATTTTCTTTCGAAAAATCAACATTTTCTCCTTTTTTCTCCAGTATCAAATTTCTATTCAATCAAGTTTCCCGCCAAAAATCAAGATATTACGGTAGAGCCGCGTCGCATGACCAACGCGTCGCGGTCTCTTTACAAGAAACAGTAAAGTGGGCTAAGAAAAAAAAAAGGAAGACACGGTGACAGTTTCACTTTTGGCTGCGATTCATGAATAGATTAACATCGGAATGAGTGCGGCAGAAGAGAATCCTTCAAACGCTTTTCGGCCTGTGACACTTCAAAAAGACCTTATCCGGCCTCGGAATCGGTGTTTGTGCGACGTTTGACGAATTGGTTTTGCACCCCCGTCGGGCCCGATCTTTATCAAGAAGGGGCCCAAACAAGGAGAACAACCAGAACGCTTTTTATCTTTTAGTAGTTTTTTCAGGTCTCGGTGGGAATTCGAATGAGTATAGATTTGACCTGAAAAGGTGGGAAATTCTTGGAATTTTTTGAAAAATAGCACTTGATCTTCAGAGCTTTTGTTAACCCAAGAAAGATAGCTCAATAAAAAGCTAATTTTTGTATTTAAGAAAAAAAGTTTTCACAACTTTCTGGTATGGAATCTTTTTGAAACAGAGGACACTAAAGTGGCCACTATTTTCCGTTTTAGAGGCCACTTCAGTAGTTTTCCATCCAGTATTCCTTCCAGTAACTCTGATAATTTTAAAACAAACAGATTGGACCAGTTATGTTGATCCATTGACCCCTAAAGTGGTCACTAAAATTTCTAGTAGTAGCACTTAGACCTCTATAGTGACCACTTATTTTTAACCCCTTAAGTGGCCATTAATTTGATTACTATAGAGGCCACTAAAACGTCAAAACCCTATAGTGGCCACTGAAAAACTAAAAATGATCACAATTTCGGCTAAAAACTGCTAAAAACCAAAAAATTTCGCAACACCCAACTCTTACTCATTCATCTAGAGCTCCCAAGTCTTCCCGGAAAAAATAAGCCACGAAAAAAAAAGTGTTGTCGAAGGAAAAAGTCGCCGCTTTGGTCGCTGACAAATCGCCGGCCGTTCCATTTTTTCCCCCTCCTTCTCTTCTTTTTTCACAAAAAGCCGCCGGGTCGTTGTGATTTATGGCAGCAACTTGGGCTTTTCGTTGGTTTCTGGGAAAGTTTTGCGACATTCCGAAAGTTCCGAAGAAGTTCTGGGTGATGGGGAATGGGAGTCTGCTCCTCTTTCGAATTTTTATTGCTAAAACTGAGATAACAGAACTTTTTTTTTAAATCATGAAGAAAACGCCGAGATGAGACCAGAAATCTTCAATTTTTGACAAGAATGCCTGGAAAAGCGGCAGAAAAGCTCAAAAAAAAAGCTTCATCTTGCAAGAAAAAAAAATGTTCCAAATTGAAGCCAACAGGTACTGATCCATGGACCCTCTTTTCAAAATTCAAGATTTTAATTCACTCGACCAAGATTCAAATCTAGAAAGAAAACAAGAAAATGCTGGCCTCTCCGATAGGCAAAAAATCAATGAAAAACGCTAAGCGGGATTGATCCAGGGACCCTTTTAAGAGTCATCAAGGCTTCAATCCACTCGACCATTGCTCCTCCTTGAGAGACAAGAAGCTCAGAACGTCTGAATCTTGCAAAACCAATCCCAAGCCGACCGGAGTCGATCCAGGAACCCTTTCAGAACTTATCAAGGCTTCAATCCACTCGACCATTGCTCCACCTTGAGAGACAAGAAGCTTAGAACGTCTCAATTTTGCAAAAGAAGGCTTACGCCGACCGGAGTTGATCCATTAACCCTTTCAAAACTTATCAATGCTTCAATCCACTTGACCATTGCTCCTCCTTGCGAAACAAGAAGCTTCGAACGTCTCAATCTTGCAAAAACCAATCCTACGCCGACCGGAGTCGATCCACCAACCCTTCCCGCAACAATCAAAACTTCTTCCACTCGACCAGAACTTCATCTGACTATTGAGAGCACATAAAACTCAAGTCTTCTTTCTGAATTTTGCAAAAAACGCCGGCCGGTACCGAACCAGGAACCCATTCAGAATTTAACAATGCTTCAATCCACTTGACCCTTACTCTTCCTTGGAGTACAAGTACCTTAGAACGTCTGAATCGTGCAAAACCAGTCCTACGCCGACTGGAACCGATCCACCAACCCTCCCCGCATCAACCAAAACTTCTCCCACTCGACCATGACTTCAGCCGAGAGAACATAAAGCTCAGTATGTCAAAACAAAGGTAACGCCGACGGGTACCGATCCATTAACCCTTTGAGAACTCATCATGCTCCAAACCACTTGACCATCACTTTATCTTGAAAGACACGAAACTCAGAACGTCTCCCGTCTTGCATATGGAGGCTTACACCGACCGGAACCGATCCAGAAACCCTCTCCACAACAACCACCACTTCTTCCACTCGACCATTACTCTTCGTTGAAGTACAAGAAGGTCATAACGTCTTCATTTTGCAAAACCAATCCTACGCCGACCGATAGTGATCCAAAAACCCTCTCAGAACTCATCAATGCTTCAATCCACTTGACCATCACTTTACCTTGAAGTACAAGAAGCTCAGAACGCCTCCAGCTTGAAAAAAAGTCCTACGCTGACCGTTACCGATTCATTGACCCTTTGCGGAACAATCAGCACTTCTTCCACTCGACCAGGACTTCATCTGACTATTGAGAGCACATAAAACTCAAGTCTTCTTTCTGAATTTTGCAAAAAACGCCGACCGGAGTCGATCCAGGAACCCTTTCAGAACTTATCAAGGCTTTAATCCACTCGACCATTGCTCCTCCTTGAGAGACAAGAAGCTCAGAACGTCTTCATCTTGCGAAAAAAAAAAGTCCTACGCCAACCGGAACCGAACCAACAACCCTCCCCGCACCAACCAACACTTCTCCAACTCGACCATGACTTCACCAAATCTTCCTAGTAGAAGCTCAAAATTTCCCGCCAGCTCTCGCTGTTCAACGCTTCCTGATAAGGATCTCAAGACGGAATCGGCTGTCGGATCAGTGTCAAAACGTCAACATTTCTTCGCACCTGTAATCCGGCGACGATCTGACGGCGGCCCGAAACGCGGGAACACAGCTGTTGCGATTCCAAACTCAATCTTTTCCCTTGATCGAGCCGAAATCGGCAAGAGATTACCGCGGATTAGGCATGTGGAGGGTTTCGGAACGATTTCAAATTTCAAATCGTCAAGGACGCCTTTTTAATTGGGAGTGACTCCCTTGAGTGATGATGGATTTTTAAAAATAGTGAGATCGAATTTAATCTGGCTTCAATTTTAGAGGTTTTTTATTGCAGTTCCAAGGAGTTCATGCTCGGAGAAAAATTTCAAATCAAACTCCTACTAAAAGTCGATAAAAGTACTGGGAAAATCTTAGTGGCCACTGTAGGGTTTTGACGTTTTAGTGGCCTCTATAGGAGTCAAATTAGTGGCCACTTGAGGGGTTAAAAATTAGTGGCCACTCTAGAGGTCTAAGTTACTGGAGGGAATACTGGAATAAAAAACTACTGAAGTGGCCACTAAAACGGAAAATAGTGGCCACTATAGAGGTGGGTTTAGTGGCCCCTTTAGTGTCCTCTCCAAGTAGTCCTTGGCGAGCCTCTATAGTGGCCACTGAAAATTTTCCCAGTAGGTCGAACTCCAGTATCCTTTTCTGAGAATCAGAACATCATTGCTCAAGAAAAGCAGACGACTTTCCGATGATCACAGAAAAGCTGGAGCTTCTTGTCCAAGCTCAAACCTCGCTTTGAAAAATACAGCCTATTTCCAAGCTAGACCGTCGTCCCACTTTCTTCACATACCTTGTCCTTTTCCTGAATTCAAGCAGACCCTAATTTCACAGTCTTCGTATATTTTCCCTCAGGATCTTTTGCTCAAGACTGACTTAATGGTACTACTACATACTTCTGACAGCTTCTTCCAGAAACAGCTGATCGTCGGAACGCTCATAGCTCGTCTACTGCCATCTCAAGAAGGACGAGTTGTTCTACTCGCAGTTCTTGAGCAGCTACAGTTTCATGAACCAATAAAAAACATCAACAACTTTTCAATTATTCTTTGATTCAGCAGAGAACCCTCCCTATAGACTGAACGATATTATGGAACTTCTTCGAATCCGAACTCCTTTGCTCAAGATTCAAGAAAAACCAACAACTGGAGGGACGTTTTTACGACGTCCTCTGACAGTCCTTCCATCTTCTCTTCTTCTTTTTCCTCCTCCAACAAGAACTCTCTGCCGTGGCCCAAGCCAAGCAGCAAGACGGTCGTAAATAAGTCGCCGTGCGGAACGTCGCCGGTTCGATAGATTTACAACTGGCCAACGACAGACCAAGACGCCGACAAAGGCCCATCCAACATACGGTATTAACATTGGGGCGCAAAAGTGCTGGGTGGGCTCGTAAAAATGGCCGCCGCGGCGCTCGATCTCAACTTGCAGATAAAACTTTCCAACCGACTGAAAAAAATTCCTTTTTTTCCTATGGTTTTCGAGGGGTGTGTGGAAAAAGGATTTTTTTTTTCGGAATAGATATATTTTTTCACATACCAACTTTTCTATAGAAAGTGCGGGAAAACGGACAGTTTTTTTCAAAATTTGAAGTCATTTTGAACACCAGAAGCTTCTAAAATACATGGTTTAACTCCAGAAAAAAAAAATCTACTAGAATCTTCTCCTATTTTTTCTATTCTCAAAAAAGCGAAAAATATTCACTCAAAACGTCTCCAATCCCAGCTTCATCACTATCGAATTTTAAAAAATGGGGATTCCTTCTTTGGATGGAAAATTCTCCGAAGCCAGAAGCTTGAATAAACAATGAAAAAACACCTAAATCCGACTTTCAAAAAAGAAAAATATTGACTGGAACCATCTCCAATACTCAAATAAATCACGACCTCCTCACGAATCCATTAAAAATGAGAAAGATGATGGAGAAACGGTGAGCTCTGCAGTGTATACCATACCGAAGGGGACCAACATTTATTACCCATTTTGGAGACGCGAATCAAACTGACACAGACGTCGTTAAACATCCATCAAAACCCCATCCGCGCCGTTTGCATCTCCTCCCGATTTCGGCTGACCGATTTGCCAATTTCATACCCGACAACTCGGGGATCTTCTTGATCTTCTTCGTTCGGAGGTTGATCGGATAGTTCTCAAAGAAGATAGGAAGATTTCTGGTATTTTTTTCATTTTTGATGAGCGTTTTCAGCTCACAGAGCTCTTCAAGGGTCCAAAAAGTGAAGATCGACATTTTCGAAGATTCTTCAGGCCTTCTTGGCTGACAGGTTGATAAGTGATATTTGATGATCTTCGAAGAAGAGAAAGAAGGTTTGCCAGTCCTTCATTCTCAGGCAAATCCTGGGAAGGTAACCAGAAGAAGTTTGGAAGGTGTATGGAAGCTAGAATGTCTCATGAAAGCCTTTGGAAGGTGTTTTGAAAGTAGTTGGAGGGTGAAAATGGAAAATGCCTTCCAGAAGCCTTCCAGAAGCCTGCTGGAAAGTGTCTGGAAGGCTTCCGGCAGAATTTTTCTCAAAGTAGAAGGTGTTTGGAAGCTATGTGGAAAGCGTTCGACCAATTTCTGGTAAGCTTCCAAACGCCTCCCGAGAAACCGAAAGCAGAAGCTTCCCAAATCTTATTTGAATTTCCGTTTTTGATGGATTTTTTCAGCTCACAAAGAGTCCAGGGAGTGATGGAAACTGCCAAAAATTCAAGTTATAATTTTCCGGAGATCTTCTTGATCGTCTCCATTCCGAGGTTGACCGGATAGTCCTTGAAGAAAAAAAAAATTATTACTGGTCTATTTTCTCTCATTTTTAATTAATTTTTTCAGCTCACAGAGCTCTCAGTGATACTATAGAATCCAAGGAGTGATGGTGAACAATAGAAATAAGTATCGGCTCGGAAAATATTCAAGCAAAGTCTCCAAGAAGCCGTTGACGTCGTCACGAAGAAGTCAATGTCAAGAAACCATTCGATGTTATCTTTCCACTGGATTCTAGACTCCACGTCTTCAAGAGGCCGCCGTCGTCGTCAAGTAACCGTTCGACCTCTTCTTTATACTGAAATCTGGACCCCAGGTCTCCAAGAAACCGTCGACGTCGTCAAGAAACCGTTCGACCTCTTCTTTTATTGAAATCAAGAGCCCACGTCTTCAAGAAGCCATCGACCTCTCTCTTTAAATCTTCACGTTCTTACAATTTTCGGCTAGCGAATTCTGATACTTCTACCTCAGCAATCTATCTACCCTTTCAAGTCTCCAACTACCATTGAAAATGTAATAAAAAGCCAGAAAAAGTCGTTCGAATCTCAACCCCACGTCTTCAAGAAGCCGTTGACGTCATCACGAAGAAGTCGATGTCAAAAAGCCGTTCGATGTTATCTTTCCAAAAAATTGAAAAATGAAGATAAGTATCGTGAAAAATGTAGTTAAGTATCGGCTCGGAAAATATTCAAAGTCTCCAAGAAGCCGTTGACGTCGTCACAAAGGTTTCAACGTCAAAAAAACCGTTCGACCTCTTCTTCTTACTGGAATCTGGACTCCAGGTCTCCAAGAAACCTCCGTCGTCGTCAAGAAGCCGTTCGATCCCTTTTTTTCACAAAAATCTAGACCCCACGTCTTCAAAAAGCCGTCGACGTCTCTCTTGAAATCTTGACGTTCTTGCAATTTTCGGCTTGCGAATTCTGAATCTTCTCTACCTGGACCATCCGTCCACTTTTCCAAGACTCCAAATACCATTGAAGATGTAATTAAAAATCCCAAGAAGCCGTTCAAATCTCAACGTCTTCAAGAAGCCGTTGAAGTCGTCACAAAAATTTCTAATTCAAGCAGCTCTTCGATCTCTTCTTTTCACAAAAATCTAGACCCCACGTCTTCAAAAAGCCGTCGACGTATTTCTTGAAAACAACACAATTTTTAAATCTCAACGTCCTTCACGAAGTAGTAAATTTCAAAAAGCCGTTCGATATTATCTTCCCACTGAAACGTAGACCCCACGTCTTAAAGAAGCTGTCGAGGTCTGTCTTGAGATATAAATTTCCTACAAAAAATCATCATCTTGGTTTTTACAAGAAACTCTTCGATACTTCTCTACCTGAGCCATCGTTCTACCTTTTCAAATCTCCAATCATCATTGAAGCTGTAATTAACATATTAAAAAAGCCGTTCAAATCTCAACCCTACGTCTCCAAGAAGCCGTCGACGTCAACACGAAGGAGTCAATGTCAAAAAAACCGTTCGACCTCTTCTTCTTACTGGAATCTGGACTCCAGGTCTCCAAGAAACCCCCGTCGTCGTCAAGAAGCCGTTCGATCCCTTCTTTTCACAAAAATCTAGACCCCACGTCTTCAAGAAGCCGTCGACGTCTCTCTTGAAATCTTCACGTTCTTGCAATTTTCGGCTTGCGAATTCTGAATCTTCTCTACCTGGACCATCCGTCCACTTTTCCAAGACTCCAAATACCATTGAAGATGTAATTAAAAATCCAAAGAAGTCGTTCAAATCTCAACGTCTTCAAGAAGCCGTTGAAGTCGTCACAAAAATTTCTAATTCAAGCAGCTCTTCGATCTCTTCTTTTCACAAAAATCTAGACCCCACGTCTTCAAGAAGCCGTCGACGTATTTCTTGAAAACAACACAATTTTTAAATCTCAACGTCCTTCACGAAGTAGTAAATTTCAAGAAGCCGTTCGATATTATCTTCCCACTGAAACGTAGACCCCACGTCTTCAAGAAGCTGTCGAGGTCTGTCTTGAAGGCTACGACTTTTTACAAAACTCATCATCATCTGGGTTTCTACAAAAGAACTCTAAACATACGTCTCTGAAGTCTCTTAGAAAAGTCTTCAGAAAGTCTCTAAAACTTCTTGACCATCACCTCTACCTCACCCTCATTCTACCTTTTCACGTCTCCAATCATCATTCAAGCTTTAATTAACATCCTGAAAAACCTTTCAATACCAACCCCACGTCTCCAAGAAGCCGTCGACGTCAACATGAAGAAGCCAACGTCAAAAAGCCGTTCGACCTCTTCTTTTCACTGAAATCTCAACCCCACGTCTTCAAGACGTCGTCACGAAGGTGTCAACGCTCGAAATCTGACGCAGAAATCTCCTCCCCCAAAAATATGCCAAGTCGAATCGTCGAGGATTAGACGTGTCACGTCACGTTGGCCGTTCCTTTTCACGGGATTCCGACAGGGCGCACATTCGAAAAAATAAACGCTTTATGACAAGTCTGAATCGGAACCAGAGTTGAACTGACAGGACTGAGGAGTCCTTGGGGAGGAGGAGGTCATGACTGAAACAAAGGAGAAAAAAATAGGGGATAAAAAAGGGGGTGTAGAAAAAATAAAGCTAGGGACTTATATATTTTTTTAAATCTTTAAAAAGTTAAATTCATTTTTTTAAAAATTCCAATGGGGACAGCTAAACGAGCGATTTTTTTCTTTTTTTAAAAATTCTTTCTGAACTCATTTCGCTTAAACTCAGTTTTTTTCAAGTTCTAAAACTACTCGGCAAACTCAACTTTTTCGAATCTGAACGATCCAAAAAAATTTAAAAATTTCTTTGAAAGGACTTTTTCAGAACCTTTTTTTAAAAGTTTTCTTCAGAAAAAAATTCCAAAAACTTCCAAGCATGAGGACCTAACTTTTTTTAATTTTTTTCCTTTTAGAAAAACCAAGAGCCTTCAAAAAGCTTAGAACTGGGAGAATTTTTAGTGGCCACTATAGGGTTTTGACGTTTTAGTGGCCACTTAAGGGGTTACAATCTAGTGGCCACTATAGAGGTCTAAGTGCTACTACTAGACCACTAAAAATTTTAGTGGCCACTTTAGGGGTCAATGGATCAACATAACTGGTCCAATCTGTTTGTTTTAATATTATCAGAGTTACTGGAATGAATACTGGATAAAAAACTACTGAAGTGGCCACTAAAACGGAAAATAGTTGCCACTATAGAGGTGGGTTGAGTGACCACTTTAGTGTCCTCTCCAAGTAGTCCTTGGCCAGCCACTATAGTGGCCACTAAAATTTTCCCAGAAACTTAAAGATTGTTATAAATCCTTCAAAAATAATCCAAAGGTTTTCTTGGCACTATTTCGGTCTTTAATTTTGTTTTTCCCAAGCTTTTATTAACCTAAAACTGCAGCTTTCTTAAGCTTCACCCTCAAAACTTTTTCTCAAAATAACCTTTTTTAAAACTCCTAAAAACTTTCTTGAAAGCCTCCCAGAAACAAAATCTCCTTTCCCAGCACCTCTAGGACCAATAAAGTCTCAAAAAAAAAAAAGAGTCAAGCCAAAAATGATATGAATCTCGGGCGAAATGTTTGCCGCCGACTGACTGATGGATGCATTTATCGTCGCAGCGGCGCTTCTTTTTTTCTTCTTCTTTCTAATTTCCCAGATCCCAATCGACACCGCATTTGTCACGGTTCGGAAGACAACTCCGAAGGCCGAGAAACGCCAAAAAAAGAAGAAAATGCGATCAAATCGCTCGGCGACAAATTGGCCCCAGCGTTTTTGAGATTGCGATCTCGCGCGAAAAAGGTGTCGCGCTGGCGATAACCGCATTTCGATCCTTCTTTTTTTTTTCTTGTTACAGTAACCAAATAGGGCAAAGAAGTGTAAAAAAAGAACCAATTATATGAAAATATGAACTTCCAGTTCAAGGTAAAGGATAAAGAAAATAGGGTTTCAATAAACGTTCTACAAAATTTTGGATCGAAGTTTTCCTACCTGAAAAAAATGAAGCCTTTTCAAAAAGGTGTTCAAATTTATAAAATCTCGAGTCACAGTCAAAAAACTTAAAGGCGCATCATAATGAGCTGAAAAATGGTTTCGAAGGAATATTCAAAAAGTCACGAAAAGTGAAAAATTCAATTTTTAAACGTCTAACTCAAATTTACAACGTAAAACTGCTTTGATTGAATAATTTTACGAATTTTTGAATGATTCTCAAGAAAAAACCCCCCAAGTTCAGTAATCGTTTAAAAAAACCAACCTTAAAATTAAGTTTTTTATTAAAATATTTCTGTTTTTAGAGAAAAACATTAATATAGTCTTCAAAACTTAATTTCAGTTCAAAAAATCCCACTGACTACCCCCACAAGCTTCAAATCGAATGAAAAATCAATCTTACCAACATCCGACCTTCTCCAACTCAAAGCTCTCAAATCATCGCAACAAATCGGAGAATCAACACGATCAGTCGGAAAAAAACACGAAAAAGGAAATAAAAACGAGACGGAAGGTGAAGCTAACACGAGGCGAAGGGCCGACGGCGGCGGCATCGCTTTGATCGCCGGCCGTGACGTGATCCGAAGCGACAACGTCGTCATCTCGAGTCATCGGCCACGTCCGGCCACCTTCGGACCTCGGCACAGAACTGTGTCTTTGATTGGGAAAAGGACGCGAGCAGCTGCAACCTGGTAGGAGCACAAAAAAAAGGTTTTCAAAATCCACTGAGGTTTCTCGAAGAGACAGAGGCTTGAAAAAAATCGGAGCGGTTCTTTGGAGTTGGAACTTGAGTAGGAGCTTGGAAAACGACCGAAGTTCACTTCACCAGGTTGGAAGATACAACTAGCAAGGAGAAAAGACCTTTTGATGGATATGAGCTACGGAGATCTTTGGATCACACCTCAGAACTTTCCTTTTGATTGGGAAGGAAGGAAGAGAGCAGCTGCAACCTGGGTAGGAGCACGAAAAAATAAGGTTTTCAAAATCCACTAGGCTTCTTGAATAGACAAAGTCTTGAAAAATATCGGAAAAGGTCTCGATGGGATTCTTTGAGTTGGAACTTAGGTAGGAGCTTGGAAAACGACAAAAGTTCACTTCACCAGGTTGGAAGACACAACTAGAAAGAAAGAGAACATTTTTTTTCTATTATGAAAAGAAGCTACGGAGACCTTCGGATCACACCTCAAAACTGTCCATTTGATTGGGAAAGCGTCTTCTTCCTTCTTGCAAAGTTTGAAGTTCCACTCAAGCTTTTCCAGGAGACAGAGCTTTTCTTCTTGCTGGAAAGGAGCTCTACGAAAGCTTCGGACCTCTACACAGGACTTTCTCTTCGCTTGGGAGGAACGAAAGAAGGAGCTTGAACTTGACCAACAGCAAAAAATCTGATCTTTCTTTTCGTTGGGTTTCACCGGCCAGACCGTCCTTGGAACTTGAGTAGAAGCGACAGAAAAAGCAATTTTTGAAGATCTGTCTCTAAGGAAGTGAATTGAGCATACTTACAGGATGAGTGAACTACAAAATTTCTTGCTGGTGAAGTATGAAATTGAACCTTTTCTGAAAGTGACTTTCGGACCTTCCTAAAGAACTGTCATTTTCCTGGGGAGGAACGTGAGGAGCTGCAACTTGGGTAGGAGCTTGGAAAATGGTTTTCACCATAAACCGACCAATTTTTTTTCTACGGGTCAGAAACTACGACTAGGATCGTCCTCCTTCTTATGAAAAGAAGCTTCTGGAAAACTTTTGGAAAATTACAGTCCCCATGCTTAGGAAAAAGACGTGAGGAGCTGCAACTTGGGTAGGAGAAGCTCCTGAAGATCTCACATAGGTATTGTCCAAGATAAGAAGAAGAACTGAACAGAAAAAACCATTCTATTTCATTCTGGTAAAGTTAAAGTCACACATGAAAAAATGTGAAACTCGTTTTCAATTTTTAAAAAATTCAAATTTTTCGATGAGCTGAAAATTTTCGACTTCCAACTATAATGCCATATTTAATCGGTTCTCTACAAGACCTTCAACGATGCGCCTTTAAATCCGCCGAGAGAAGGATCTCATCCATTTTGCGACAACATAAACAGTAATTAAAGGATGTCTCCGGGTAGGTATCCAATCTAATCTCTTCGAATCTCGAATGTTTGTCTTCCTGGCGTCTGGATAACATCGTCGGAATTTCGTGTGACCTGCGGGAGGATCCGTTTTTATGCCACCTGGCTGCACCTTTTCCTCCGACTTTAATGAGCACTAAAAAATCTCAATCATGGGTTATTGGTCATAAGAGTCAAAGAGAACAGAAATTACAGAAAAAGGGTTAAAAAAAAAAAATTCGAAAATGAAAAGGGCTTGAAAAAAAGAATAAAAACAATGTAAAAAAATTTTTTTTTGAAATTTTGCTAAAAAAATTCATTTTTTTGTGCGTTCCAAAAAGCGGTCAGATGCCTTGAAAAAAATTACGAAAACCTTTAAAAAAATCGAAAAAAATTTCTACATTTCAACCAAAAATTAATCGAAAGTCCATAAAAGTTTTTCCGAAATTCTTCAAACTTCAAACGGTACGAAACTCCAGAGGCTCATTCAAAAATTTGATTTATCGCAGTGGCGCTCAATTGGACTCAAACTAATAAAAAAATCGAATTTGGAATGATTAATGATCCGACTTGAATCGTTTGCCGATTTGCAGCGATTTGGACAAAATATTGCAAAAAGAAAAAAAGGAAAAAAAAAAACTTCGAGCCAGGCAAAAATGCTTAAAAAGTGAAATTCTCAGAAAATTTTTTGAAACTGTGTTGTTATTTTTTTATCTCAATTTTTTTCAATTTATGTGCCATTTCAAACTTCTCACCAACTCCGTATCAAGCCGATTTCGCTGCGCATCAACTTGAAAAGCAGAAAATCTTTTTTTTCTCATACGTGTCATAACATGTCTTCGCAGTAAGCTCAGTTTCGCTGCGCATCGACTGCTTGAAAACCAGTAACCTACTTTTCCTTGGATTCAATCGAAATGTTTTTTTTACTTGAATTTGAGCTCTGAAGAGCTCTGATAGATCGACAGTGCATCTTCAACTCCGTATCATTTCGTTGCGCATCAACTCATGAACCAGAAAACCTTTCTTAACAATTGATTCAGAACCAAATGAAGCTTTTTCCGAACTCCTATTGGTATCCTCCCAGTATCTCGCTTATCAACACCTCCGTATCAAGCGCAACTTCGCTGCGCATCAACTCATGGACCAGAAAACCTTTTTTAACAATTGATTCAGAACCAAATGAAGCTTTTTCCGAACTCCTATTGGTATCCTCCCAGTATCTCGCTTATCAACAACTCCGTATCAAGCCAAACTTCGCTGCGCATCGACTGAGCTCGACGAAACGGTCGGCGACTCTCAAAGCCTAGGAGGCGCTCGAAATGATTGATGTTTACGAGGTTCGCAGAAGGGCCCAAATGGCCCTTTGAGCCACTTGCAAGTTCATGATTCATTGCGTTTTCAATGGCTTTTCGGGATGGGTCCGGCCGATGGGAATGATCCTTTTTTTCTTCCCTTTTTTTTCTCGTCAGGCGGAAAAAGTTTCTCCTCGAGGTGAGGGATCTCAAAATGAAGGAAAAAGGAAAAATGAAGAATAAAGATGAAAAAAAATTACATTTACTGATGGCTTGATAAAAAAACGTGAGAAAAGAATAAATTTTGAAATTTTCTCTTTTCAGCTGTGACTCATAGTATTTTCCCAACTTGAGCTTTCATTTTTGAGCAAATTTTCAGTTATATTTTACTACTAATTCCTTAGGAAGTGGTCCCTATAGGGGCAAACTCAAAGACCTTTAACGCCCCCCTCTAGAGACCACTTTACCGACCCTATAGGGGCCACTCAAGCTTGCAAAGTGGCCCCCTAAGGGGTCATGCTAATTTTAATTGTTAGGAGCTCTAGGAGAAGACGCATTTCCATGCGAAAAAACTAGATAAATCAGCGTTTTTTTTTAATTAAAAATGTCAATAAAGGGCTAAATGATCCCTATAGTGACCACTTAAGATTTAGAGGCTTAGGAGTTCCATCATGAATCCCTATAGAGATCACCTAAACTTTAACCCTACAGTGAGCACTTTTTCCTATCCTATAGACGCGGTTTTCCTCCTAACCCCTAAAGAGACAACTCTGAGGTTTCTAAGCATGTTTCAAAATCCAAAAAATGCACTAAACGTTTAAAATGCAGGTCCCATCGATTAAAAGCTCGAAAAAAAAGAAAAAAACTGACATCGATTGACGAGTTGCTGTCCTTGAGAGATTGCTCGTATTTCAGCACGAAAAAGTTGGATTTTAGTACGGAATCTGTAAAAAACAGCCACTTTTAAAAATCAAAAATGAGTTTTGAACTTTAAATTTTGAAAAAAATCAAAAAACACCTCAGAAAATTTTTCCAGCTCGGTTTTTTGACGCAAGGGCGATTATACATACAGATTTCCGTCTGAAATTTCTTAAATTTATCTTTAAAAAAAGCTTATTTTTTTCAAACTATTTATCAGAAAAAAATGCCGAAGGATTTTCATTGGAAAAATCATTTTTTTCAAAGACCCGAGGTTTTTTTCTCGATTTTTTGGAGTTTTATGAAGCTTCAGCTCTCAAAAAAATGAACTACTCACAACTTTTTTTAAACTTGGAATAAGTGAAAATGAATCAATGAACCTTTTTCAAAAAGGACACGATTTTCTATCATTTTCAAAAAATTCAACATAAAAAAGATCAACTACTGATGCGATAAATAAACATGAAAAAAATATTTTTCAACTTTTAAGAAGAGCCTTTTTCTAATTATGACCATTTTCGATTTTTTTGAAATTATTTTTTTGTTTTCTAGTGCCGTCTAGAAATGGTACTGTAGTTTCGAAAAGTTATAACAAGGGTTTGAAAATCCTTAAAACCATTTTTAAAGGCACAAGAACGACTTTTCGCTTCGAAACCTTTCATCAAACTTTTTTCTTTTCCTTTACAGTTCCAGCCAAAAATCTATTCATTCATATAAACAGCAAGAAATGAACCAAAAAACGCATTATTCTGCGAAAATATCACGCGACTACCGTACCCTCTTCGAGAAACCAATGCATATCAACAATGTGCGATTAATCAATTTCGGAAAATCCCGCGGTGCGCCCAGAAATTCCTAGTAAATCATCACATCAGTGATGTGTCAAGTGATAAATTGATAGGTTTGGCGGCTTTGTTCCGAAGCTCTGCGGGACGCCCGCGGGCCTCCCGCAGCGACACGCAACCTCATCAGCCGCCGTCAACTTCTCAACACCCAGATTAATGATTCGCTTTGGCGGTTTCGAAACGTAAAAAGGTGGGGTTGACAAAAATATTGAAAAGAAGAAAAACAACAGGAAACAACTTCGAGAAAAGTAGCCCTATTTAAAGGCATAGGAGCAGTAAAAAAAATGGGGCTTCCGGTGAAAGCAGTATCTTATATAGTTTTTCTTTGCGAATCGAACGGTGTACTCAAAAAAATTACAGATGTGACAACTTTAAAAGAAAAACGCGATTTTACTTTCCCGCCTTTAATTTTGAAAAAAGCTTTGGATCGGCATACGGACAAATGTTTACAGTAGCCGTGCACGCGATCTTGCGGACATCTCATTAGACTTGCATTTTGTGAGAAATAACCCGCTATCTGCTTCAAATTAAGAACTTCCTCTCTGAAACATCGATTAAGAAAACAGAAAAAACATATTGATAATAAAGAAAACACAAATAATCGCTATCCCAATCGAAACCTGCGTAAAATCATCATTTTTCACCAGAAAAGCATTTTTGCGATCAAAGTTTGCAAATTATACATGAATAGAAAGTTTTTGTGACGAAAAGAACTTTGGTGACAACAGAAAAAATTGAAAATTGGAAGAAACGAAGAAAAAAGCGAAAATCCGGAAGATGGCGAAGCTTGTTGTCCATAGAGCGACTTTACTGCAAAACGCCCTTTTTGACGGGAACTCAAGCTTTCCTTTCTCCGATTTTGAATTATTTTTTCTCCAAAACTAGGAACTTCTGTACGTTTCCAAGTTCACCGTTGGATTCGCAATAAAAAGCTCTACAAAGTACTGCTTTGAACTGAAACATCGTTTTTTACTGCTCCTACGTCTTTAAAAAAGAGCAAAAAAAAATTGAAGAAAAATCTTTGACCTTTAAGATTTTTTTAAAATTTTCATTGAAAAACAATAGAAATTCCCCAAAAATTATTGATTTTTTTCCTTTCTTCATGCTTCGAAAACATTTTTATTAGAAGCATTTTCTGAAGCTACAGTTATATAGAAGCCCTAGAAAGTCTCTTAGGAAATCCAAAAGCATTAATTTTTCAAATGAAACGCTTCAGCAGCCAAAAATAGGAGAAAAAATGGTAGGTTCTAAATTTTGCAAAAGTTGAAGTCAATTTAAATTTTAAAAATGAATACTTTTTTACTAGGACTCGACCTTTTGGCTTTGAAAATCGGGTTTTTGGTTCTGAATGTTGAATTTTTTTTTATAAAAATGATTTTAGAAATTTATTAGGCTTGTTTTGTGTCATATCGCTTTAGGCAGAGTTGGAAAAAAATTAATGTTATGGTAACTTTTTTTCTCTAAAACAAATATGTTGTAGAACACGATTTTTAGGATTTTTTGAAAACAAAACAGAATATCGATTCATTTTTCGATACTTCAGCTTTGACCAGTAGCTAATGGTACATATTATTTTGAAGCTTGTTGCCCATCCTTCAAATTTTGTGTGAGAGACTTGTTCAGAAAAAAATCTGGAAGAAGTTCTTCCTGTCGTTCAAAAATTGCATTGGAATTTGGGACTTCGCTTATTTATGTCTAGTCCAAGTGAGAGGGCGTAAATGCTATAGCTGATTCACGGTTGGCTTGAGCCATAGAAAAAAAGGGTCCTGACACGATATTGCACGAGATAGCGCCTAACTCGTAGAGAGCGCAGACAGGACACGCCCCCTAGGGTCCCAAGCTGAATCAGCTAATTTTATAAATTTGTATAGAATCCAATCAGGCTTTTGCAAATTCAACCTTCACGTTGGGCATATAATATTGGACGTGAAGATATCATCTTATGGTTTGAGACGAAAAATAAACTTTTCCTAATGAAAAAAGAAAAACAGGACGTGTAAGTCAAACGTAAGATTTGGAAGGTAATCAGTCATAACAAAACATCGACGCGATGAGAGCACGGATCAAAACTTCCTCTCCTCCAGTCGGTTCGTTCTTTCTTGGGATTCTTGCTTATGATACGGGATAGGGATCCAGAAGTTTGGTTAAATTCCAGAAAGTACAGAAGTTGGCCAAAGACAACTCTACAGAATTTTTGCAATGGGCAGTGCCTAGGCCAGCAAATTCCAAAAAAGCTTCATGTATTCTGCAAAACAGTGCTTTGCATTTTGCACAGAAGTACCTTTGCACTTTTTTTCGTCTGTACATAGGCACTGCATTTTGCACGATTTCAGTAGTAGACTAAGCTTAAAATTTAAAAAGCTTTCGAACAGTAACCCTGAAATGAGAAGTGGGCCTAAAACCTGGGTGGTATGAAAAAAAGACCAGCGAAAATTTCAAACGGCGACTTTTCCCATTTTTTCATATCGCTAGGGAACTTTCCGACGGCCATTTTCCAACTTTTTTTCTCGATAAAATCTTAGTTTTAAATCTTCCTATATAAAGTAGGTAGTTGGTTCATGATTAGAACACAAAGAAATAGAAAAAAAAATGTTTATAGATGTTTTATAAACCGAAAAACATAAGGGAAAAATGTCGGAAAGGTGGCCGTCGGAAAGTTCCCTAGCGATACGAAAAATCGAAAAAGTCGCCGTTTGAATTTTCGCTGGTGTTTTTTCCTTACCACCAAAACCTGAGCAACGCTGGAAATTATTCAGTGGAAAGTGATAAAATTTCAATCAAGTGCTAATAATATTCTTTAAGGATTAGATTCCAACGTTTTTCAAGTTTTTCTTTTCAATTTTCAAGACAAAACTTGTTTCAGAAGCGGCTATCTTTTTGTTGTTCGCTATTTTCCTGACCAGCCAAACAACCGCTCAAGAATGTTTTTTCTTTTTTGCTTTTTTCCTCTAGTATCGTTCTTTCAGCGTGCTGCGTTACGCCTATTTTTGGCTTTGGGAAGGATAGTTTTGATGGCGGGTGCACGAAGTGCATAAAAGGAGAATTCATCGTCAAACAACAGACTTATGTAGCAGGCACTGCTCTAGGGGTATCAGCATATTTGCTTTCTGCCTCTCGCATAGTTTTGGAAGACAATGTGGGAATTGCGATTTTCGAAAAGTTGCATACTTTATATTTCAACGCCACCGACTTCAAATCCTTTCCAGGTTTTTACTATTTGGTATCATCGCTGTAGTATTTTTGAACTAAAAAGTGAGTTCACGAGCGTGTGATTCTGAAAAGTAAATCTCGGTAATGTATAAGGTGTTTACGCGCCTATGAAAACAGGATACAAAAGTTCTCATATAGTCTGTGGGCCACGACTTGAAGTTTCACCAAACGACATTCCGCTGTTCCGCCCTTTGTGAGCCTTGGTCGTGCTTCTAATTTTTTTTTCTTACATCAAGGTACTCTACTTTCCACAGCAACAACAAACAATTGAAAGCGTAAACCTAGATTCGAAAGACGCTTCGCGAACGCACGCAGCGGAACAGCGGAATGTCGTTCAGTAAAATTTCAAGTCGTGGCACTCAGATTATACTACGTATTAATATGCTTTTTGTTCATTTCTCTCAAATTCCCAATGTCATTCTTGAAGCATGAAAAGACATTTTCAGAGCCGTTGATTCGTGTCCGAAGATCCGAAGTTGCTGACAATGCGTTCAGTCAGCTAAAAAACATAACCATCTTCCCAATGGATCCTTATTGTCAGAAGGGGACATTTCTGGATATAGACAACATGAAACAGAAACCTTGGGATCATTTGAGAAAGTTGGAAAAGGTTAAACATGTAGAAAAAAAAGCTACGATTTTCATTTGAAATAAAACACACTTTTTCAGGATTTGCTGGCATCGTGCCCTAAACCAACCACGCAGGCCCCAACTCCGGCTCCAGCTCCAAATGTGCCACCGAGTTCCGCACCAAGTTCGCCACAAAGCTCCGGACCACTTTCCAAGCCGATTTCGACGCAAAGTTCGTCTTGCCCACCAGTGCCTGAGTGCCCATCAATTCCATCGGCTGAAAAAGCTTCTGGTTAGTCTTAAAAAATCGAAAAATGCGAAAAAGCAGAAAATCGCTTTAAAAATTTTTATATTTGAGACTATTAACGAGAGATCCTTCAAATTCAATTTTCATCTGACTCATAAAGTCGTTCGAGACTTATCGAGCGTTTAAACACAGACGAATCAAGAAGGTGCCATAATGTGTCCACAATGGTACCTCTCAAAATGGATCGCGAAGGCATCATAATGTGTCCATCGTGAGACCTCCGGCATACCTTTTAGCAATATCTGAGCCATCTTGGAGGTACTTCAGAGTCTCTCTCAAGCCCCTCTCATTTTGCTCAAAATTCTGAGAGTTGTACTCGAGGTACCATCGTGAGACTTCAGAGCCTGCGAGATACCTCTGAGGGTCTCGCGATAGCCTTTCTCGATTTGCCTATAAATAGTGGTGACGACGCACTGGCCTTTTACTATTAGATTGGTTTCAAAATGAATACATGAATTGATTGCTTTTTAATTAAGTCTTAAGCCTTTTTCGAAATGGTTATCGAGAACGTGTT